ATGATTTATTTATTTTAAGGATTATTTATATTTATGAGAAAGGTACTTGTTTTTTCTTCTTTTTCACTTTTCATTATTACTATTACTAATTATTATTATTGTTAATGTTATATTTTTTTTTTTTTATTATATTTTATTTTTATTTTTGAGGGAATTAACTTTCTTGTTTATATAGGAGATTTACAAATTCTAAAATCTGTTGTTTTGAACATTCTATAACATCACCATTTGAAATCATTTCATCCAAGACAAAATGTGCTTTATCTAAATTAAACATTATCTATATTTAAAATCAAATATTAATATCATTGTTTTTTTTTTTTTTTTTCTTTTTTTTTTTTTTACATACATCTAATTCGCACTATAAATTTATAAATAAGAAGAAATATTAGTACCAAAATAAATTTATATTTATCAAATATTAAATAATACATACAACATCTTCAAAACAACAATCTAAAATCTCTACATAGTTATGAATAAGCTCTAAAATTGCCAATTCATTCTCTGATGCATCTACAGCTACAATAAAGAATAATGATGCATATTTTCTATAAACTACTTTGTAATCTTTAAATTCTAAAAATGAACACTGTGGGAATATAGTAATGTTAGTTTGATATTACATAGATAATAGATAGTAGATAATAGTAATTAATTACTTGATTTTCAGTTCTAGATAAACATTTTCTTATAATTTCACTTTCCATTGTAGGTCTTTCATCGAATGGTACCGACTCATAGTATTGTGATAATCTTGTTTTCCCTCTAATATTAACAAGTAAAAAAAATTTTATTGCCATTTGATTTATTAAATTATTGTTATTTATTGTGAAATAATAAAAAAAATTGAAAAAAAATTAAAAAAAAATTGAAAAAAAAAAAAATATTTCAAAAAAAAATAAAAAATTATTAACAATTTAATTCGTTATTTATTAAATTATTAAAATAGTATTTTTCAATATTTTATTTTATTTTATTTTATTTTGTTTTAAATGAAAAATCATTTAATCATCATCATCATTTGATGGATTTTTTTCATCATAAAATGGTTGGAATTCATCTCTAAATGACGCAGTTTGATTCATTTCTTCCTCTTTTGATACCATACAATCTTTCCAATTTAACTTTTCAGGGGTTCCTAAAAGATCGACCATTACTTTTCTGCCAAATTGATAATCTGATTTTTGTGGTAAGGTACTATATAGTTTTTCGCCATTGGGTAAAATTAACAAGAAATATTTATCGTTTAAAGCCTATTAAAATATAAAGGTACCATTATTAGTAAATTGATATTTGTTTGTTTATAGACTATTGATTATTATTTAACTTACATTATCATTCTCAGGGAGCTCTTTGAACTCCATGTTATTTTCAGTAGAGTGTTCGATAAATTTGGATTTAACTTTGGAGGAGAGTGATTTTGGAATTGGAATAACTTGAAGATGACCATGAGCAATAGCACCTTTTAAAAATGAATTTCTTTCAAAAACTACAATATCTTGACCACGTTTATCAAAGAATTCACGCAATATATTTATCATCTTGTTAATATCATCCTTTTCTGATTGATCTAGTGATATATAGTTTGCTTTATGTTCGATGAATACAATTAATAAATGATGATCTACAACACCACCCTTTGGAAAAGCTAAATAGCAATCGTTTGCAATTGTAACTACTAAATGACTATCAACATCTGGAGATGATAAACAAAACCAACAGTTTTGCTGTTGTGGTTTTGGTTTTTGTTGATGCATTTGAAATTTCTTTTGATGTCTTTCATGGTGTCTATTTTGTTGATTGTTATTATCACCATGTTGTCTTTTTCTTTGATTTTTATTTTCTTGTTGATTATCTTGTTCTGTATTTACATTGTTTCCAAAAAAGAAATTTGTTGTTGTTTCTTCTGTATTTCTTTGTTTTTTTTGTGTGTGTTGTTCGCTATTATCATTATTATTTTGTCTTCTTTCAAAAGGATTTAAAGTTGCATCATTTGTTGTAACTTCTTTAGCTGGTTGGTAATTCATTGCAAATAAATACTAGATATCATATTATAAAAACTATTAGTACTATAAATATAAAGTTAGAGTTTGTATGAATGGTTTTATTTACCTTTTCTTTTTTTTCATTATAAACAGGAGCTAAGGAGAGGAATCTTGTTACTTTTGTTTCATTTGAATGATTTAAATAAGGTGGTCTTTGGAAATAAAATGAATTTTTTGAGAAGTGATATGCTGGATTGGTTGATTGGACCACTTCTTTAATAGAGTCCATACCAATTTTGTATGGTGTCTTTAAAAATGTTGGTATACCTGATTGAACATTATTTAAAACTCCTCTAGCCCATTGATTGCTTAAAAATATATCTATTTTTTTATCTTTTGAATCATTTATTAATTTTTCTATATCTGTTTTTATAATTGTCATTGAATCCTATTATTATTATTATTAAAGAAAATATTGTGTTAATTTTAATATTTTTTTTGTAATTTCTTTTAAATTTTAAACATACATTAGATTCTTCTTTAATTGGATAATCAACTTTACCAGATAGATATGCAACATTTAAACCCATTAAATCCTTAATACCTGATTTTCCCAAGTATGTAAGATTTTTACAAATTTCGCCGTTTTCATTTGAAAATTTTTCGATATATTTATAATCTGTTGGGGTGTATGCTATAAAATAAGTTGGTATTGGTATAACTTCCTTATCATCTTTATATGATTGTAATTCTTTTGGAAATGAGATTTTATTTTGTTCGCCATCTTGATCTTGGTCGTTTTGATTTTGTTCACTTTGATTTGAATCATGTGATGCTGAAAATGGTTCGAAAAATGCACCTACACATAATAGTAAATGAAATGGTCCATTACTTTTATTGACCGTTGCTACTCTTTTATATAATTGTTGGAAATTACCTCCTATGTCACCACAAACTAAACTAATTAATAAAAATGGTTATTAGTATTGGTATACATATATAAATATATATATTATGTATTATTATAATAAATTACATTTTATATGATTCCATTTTAAAAATATAAAATTTGAAGTTAAAAATAAATTATAAAAAAAAATAATGAAAAAAAATTAAAAATTAAAAAATGAAAAAAAATAAAAAAAATAAAAAAAAATAAAAAAAATATAATAATTAATAAAAGATATATACATATTTAATAAATAATAAAAATATAAAATAAAAACATAAAATTTTTATTTCTTTTCTTTTATATAGATTATTTTAATTTATTTATTGTTGTTGTATTAATTTGCACTTGAATTTAAAAAGTCGACAAAAGAATCAGCAATTTGATGGGTTTGTGGTGGGTGTAATTGTGCAAATTTGTAAAATTGTCTTCTTTGGATTCTTAATTCTGCTAAATTTAATTTACTATGAATGATAACTCTTTTTTCTGAACCTGGTACCTTAATACGATCACCTACCATGGATGATTGAAGTGCATCTTGAATAACATTTGTAATCTCTTGTGTTTTTGATTCTAATTCATGTACAAAATTTGCTGGTGATAATGCTTGCTAAAAAATGAAAACTATTAGTAACTACTATTATAAAGTTATTATTAAAGTAAACTACCACTTACTGGTTGTGTTGCATAGTTTGGTTTTAATTCTTGTACTTCGAATAGGGTTTTATATAATAAATCAAATGGAAGTGAATGTTGTGGTTCCAATGTGAAAAGTGGTGAGTCCCATCTATTCTTAGGGTTTGGAACTTCAAATCTATTTGTTAATTCCTCTAATAAATTATCTGAAAATGCAACAGAACTATCTCTTTGTGAATTCCATTGTTTTGAAACATCTCTTGGTGTGTCACAATAGATCTAATATGTAAAAAAAACAGTATTAGTATATTTATAAATACAATTCTTTTGTTATTTTAATAACAATATACGTACAACTAATAATCTTGTACCAGCAGCTCTTGCAATACAAAATAATTCGTATCTATAACCTTTAATATAATTTAATGAGTCGGAAATGACAACAGTTTCTTTATTTAAATTTCTTTCAATTGCAGCTTTTAATGAGCCTCTTGTCATCTTTTCTGTTAATGAATCTTTATAACCTTCATTTTTATTTATTAATAATGTCTCTTCTGATATTATTACAACTTTTTTACCCATTTGGGTAAAATGGTCATATAAATCTTTAGCTCTTTGAGATTTACCACTTGATGGTATTCCACTTAATACTATTAATGGCATGATTTATATTTATATATATATACACTGTATTGTTATTTAAAAATAAAATAAAAAATCCTTTTTTTTTCGTTTTTTTTTTATTTTTTTATTTTTTTTTGAAAAAATTAAATTAATTTTTTTTATTTAAAAAATATTTTTCTTTTTTTTTCTTTTTTTTATATAAATAAATTATAAAGAAATTTTTTTTTATTAAATCTCTTTTGTGTATTATTTATTTATTTTTATTTTTTTTATTTTTTTATTTTTTTTTGAGAATATTTTATTATATATTTCTCAGTTTTGTAATTTTATTTTTATAAAATATGACAAAAGGATCGTGTGGTGAACAACCACCATTTAAAGATTTATTAGTTTTAGCTGTTAATGACCATCCAATTATTTTTGGTATTTTATTTAGTATTATATTTATAGCTATAGGTTTTTTAGGTAATATATATATAGGGGTTTATAATAGTTATTTTAATTTACTAATAATATATTTGTTTGTTTGTTATTTTTAGTCCATAATTTTAAACAATTAAAAAAAGAATTAAAACAATATAATCAGGAGGTTACAGAATACGAAAAGTCGATAGAGCAACCAACTGTTGAAACAAAAAAAAATAAATAAAAAAATAATTGTTATGTTATATCAAAAGTTGAAATAAAAATGTAAATAAACATTGTTTTTTATTTATGATTTGTTAAAACTGTTCAAAATTGTCAAATTACAAACAGGTTTTTCTTCCAGTGGACTAAATCTGTTTATAAATTTTTCCATTTCAAACTGGTTATTTTTCAACATTTTTTCCAGAAAATCAGATTTTCTATATAATGAGTTGATTTGCTCCGAATGACTTTCCTGTTTTTTTTTTGTTTCTTCCAGTGAATTAGACATTTCATTAATGAGACTGATATGTTCCGAAAAACTTTCCTTGTGTAATTTCATTTCTTCCCTTGTTTTTTCTACATTACAGCCATTAAAAATACATTTTTCTTTTACTTTGGGGCATTTAGAGGCCAAATGTTTTTCTTTTTTTTCTCTTTTCAATGATTTATTACAATATTGGCAACTTATTTTTTTTTTTGGGCAATAATTTTCTTCATGGGATTTTTTATCAGAATTTAGAACAGGGGCTTTACAGAGATCACATGGAGCCTCTGTATTATTATAAGCTATATTATGATCATTAATTTCAATAAAAGGGATTAGTACATTATATTATTTATCAAATAATAAAAATAATTATATTATATTTACATTATAGCATTGTTTTAAATCATTGCCGTCTTTTTTTATATTATTGGTGTTCAAAAATGATTTATTACATTTTTTACATCTAAAGCTATTATCTATTTCTTTACTAACAAATTTAATTTCCATCTTATTTATATGTTGATCTTATAATGTTTTAAATTAAATGAAAAATTAACACAAACTTAACAATAAAAATAATTATTTTTAATTTAAATACATTTAAAAAAAAAAATTGGAAAAAGAAAAAGAAAATTAACACACAGCGATCAAAAATTAGTTTAAAATTTTTATTTTTTTTATTTTTTTTAAAATTTTTGTTTTTTATTTTTTTATTTTTTATTAAATAAATGTTTTATATAAAATTTAGTGGGATACTGATAAGGCAATACAAAATTGACCCAACCAATAAACTATCATTCCAAGATCGCCGTGACCTAAAACCTTTCTGACCTTGCTAACGTTATTGTTTGATAATAAATTAACCTCTCTTACCAAAATCATCATGTCAGAGATAAAGAATAATACAGCACCAATGGCACCAATTGAAGCGTAAAAAGTCATTGATGTGAAAAGTTTTGAAGTGATATCTGCTGTATTATTTGAAATTATTAAAGTTAAGAGTTTTGTGATTGATCTGACGGAAGCGGTATAACACATTGCTACAATTACACTTGTATAAAAGAATAAAGCTACGGCTAATGAACGGGAGATTCCCATCTTTGAGAATAATGGGAAGACTTTGGCTAAAAACATAAAGGCAAAAAATAACACTATACCAACTAAAAGACCTATAACTATTGGTGTAAAGAATTGATCGGATGAGGTGAAAGCAAAAATAAAACTAATGTGAGCAATCAAGAAAAAGAAAACACCATGAATGAAAAATCTTTTATAGAGAAGGAAAAAATCGCCAATTGCTGATAAGAAAAGACCAACTGAAATATATACTGCGTATTGGGTAGGATTGTGTGGAACTATTAAATGAAGAGCATCATTTAAAACTTGTTGTGTGCCTGTTTTGTGATGAATTGAACACCATAATAAAACTATATATCCTAAAATTACAACTGGTACTGGTTTGACCATTACAAATATCCTATTAGATGTTCTTTTTGCCATTAAATATCCTATAGCTGTTATAGTGAACATTGTGTATAATAATTTCCACCACATATCTTTATTTATAATATCTGTTCCTAAACCAAACATAATATCTGGATTGGTACCTGTACTATGATATTGTTGTTGTAGATTCTCTATATTATTATTATCTATTTGAATTTCTTGCTCCATCTTTTTTAAAAAATACAACATAAAAAAAAAAAATAAAGTTAGTTTTATGTGCTCAATTTTTTTTTTATAAATATTATTTACTTTTTTTATTTTTTTTTATTTTATAAAATAAAAGAATTAAAAATATCTAAAAAATAGTTTTATTTTATCTAAGGATAAAATATTTAAGGTGTAACACTTTGAAATGGGCAATTTTAAA